TGAAATGTCAGTCATTCGAAATGATCGTCCATCGCGTGATGGCGGTGTTATCATTTATTAGCAAGGTTACCTTAAAGGTGAAGCTTTTAACGAACATTCCCTTGTTATTTCTGACGTATTATTTTGCCGACTTTACCTAGCAGGTCGAAATGGTGGATCACAGAAAACGCGTGATTCTTGCCTCTGTGCAGTTGTGTACAAGCCAACGAACTCCTCCGAAGACAGCGATGACATTCTGTGTGACACACTCCAATATGCAGTTTCAAAAAGTATTCCCATTATCTTGTAATGGACGATTGCAACGCACCTTCAATTGTCTCGGTGTCCTCTAATGGGTCATCATTTAAATCAAACCCCTTGAGTTCATGAACACGGCAGTTTTGTATAACCATGTGCATCAATCAGCCAGACACCGCGGTTCAACAAAACCATCATTACTGGACCTAATCCTGACAAATTACCCTTGAGTCAGTCGCACATGACCCTCCACTAGGCAGTAGAGACCATTCAGCTCTAATATTTGGTTAGGTGTGTTATGTCATTATAGTTGATGAAGAACGCGAAACCCAACGAACTGTTACTGACTATTCCAAGCTTCACAACTTAGGGACAATCGTTGACTTGGGGCCTCCAGACAGAGTTCTGCGAAGGACGCATGAAATGCATTGAAAGCTAAAGTTAACTGGGCGTAAGAGTAGCTTCAGTTGTACCATCCCGACTATCGCCTCGGACCAACACTTGGAGCCGAGGCAGAACACGTAAATGGATCAACAGAAGGGATGAGATTTAGGGGACAATATACGCTAAACCCGTGTGACACCACATGGCAGAATGACAAGACAATCAGAAACAACTGCACTTTACTCATTAGTACGAATGGCAGGAGACGATGACACTCAAGTTTACGAGTAACAACAAAGTACTCTACAGGTATGTGAACGATACAAGAAAGGTTATACCTGAAATACCATCACTCAAGACGGCAAGTGGCTTGAGGACTGCTGGTGTGGATACCGCGAACGCTCTACTCCTGCAGTTTGGCTCGGTGGCTACAAATACCATGGATCCTTTGCTATTTCAACTCCCAACAAATGTCATCGGCTTATCCAGTGTCACCTATACCCCAGAGGCTGCCGTAAACAAATTACAGTCGCCCCGGGAAAAAAGCAACGAGAAGCGACAAGATTTGCTCGAAGATACTTAAAAATCTTACCCTTATCATAGTACATTTTGCGGCGTTTCCCCATGATCTGTTTTGTACACATGCACTCGCATCCGAGTGCAAACGTGGAATCAGCACTACGATACACAAAGGAGGCAAGCGATCAGATCCCACCAACCATGGACCTATTACTCTCCTACCAGTTTTATTGAAAAGGATGACATCGATAATCGCAGATGAACTGCCTAGATATTTTGAAAGTCTACAAATAAGTTCAAATGTCCAACATGGCTTCAGAAGCAGACGACCTTGTCTCACCAATCTGCTCCTTGCCCGGGATTCATGGACTAGAGGAGAAGGTGAAAGAGTCCCCATGGATGTGGTTTACTTAGATTTTTCTAAAGCATTTGATAGAGCCAATCATTTCGTTCTCCTACAAACGCTTGCTGTCTATAGTATCAACGGTTCCTTGTTCACCTGGTTAGCAGATTACCTACAATATAGAAGCATCAAGGTAAGAATAGCCCACACACTCCTAAAGCTTATGCGTATCCAGTGGTATACTGCAAGTATCCGTCCTCGGCGTGCTACTGTTGTTAGTTTACATAGATGACTTTGCAGCAAACATTCTATCCCCAATGCATATATTTGCAGATGATGCTAAAAGATGGAGAGCAATGCGCTCAGCATTCAACCGTGCCTATCTCCAGAACGACCTGGACCGGATTAACGAATTAGCAGAAAAGAACCAGCTCCAACTAAACCCTCCAAAGTGCCACCGCACATCCTCTGGGACAGCACATTTTGCAACATTTGACTAGTGAACGAGACTTAGGTATCATCGTACAAAACGTTATTGACAATTCCCTCCAATGCTCGAAATTAGCGAATGTGGCAACTTGAAGTTGAGGTTTTGAGGCGAGCTCCCGGAACCTTTGAGTGACGGGTAGTACCCCTGTTTATTAACACACACCTTTGTCCCTATGTTGAATATTCTGTTCAGGCATGACGCCCATAGTTAAAACGAGATATTCGTCTCTTGAAGCAACCCAAAATAGAGCCACCAAGACAACACTTGGACTATCCGGTCTCAGTTACGAACTGCGCTTTCGTTTACTCGGTTTGTTCACCACAGAATACCGACGCATTCGCGGTGATCTCCTCCCCACATACCTGATACTAAATGAAAGGGAGCACCCATGCACCTCGCTGCTGACCATAGCCACTTACAAACAATGCCGAGACCACCACCTGAAACAAGTAACGCAATACTGCCGTTTGGACTGCATAAATTATTTTAACTCTCTTATAATCTGTTTCTACAAGAATGCACTACCAACACGTGTGGTGAACGCACCACACATTGCGACATTCGAGAGACTTCAAGGCTTTCGTCTTAGTGTTAAATGCTACACAATAGTGTGATAAAATGGGATGCCTTTAATACTGATGATTCACGTTTCACGTTGGAACGTTTTTGATTTTACTTTTAATTGCATTTTCCATCGTGTGAGTCTTGTAAAGTTGTGCCTTTTATCTCATCAAACACTATTGAACGATTGAACTATGAATGCCCGGGAGGATGCGGATGGAACTGAGCTCTTGCCGGATACCAGCTGTCGATCGCAGAACTGCTTTTGCTTTGTCGGCTGTGCTTAGCACAACTCGGTGAATTCTCGATTCATCGCAGTGCTTTGTTTGGGTGACTGTTGACATGCATCATGTTGGTGGGCTTAGCTATAACGCCTGGGATGTCATATATGAATTTCTACTGTCTCACGTCATCGAGTTACTTGTAATGCATTTGACGTTGATTCAGTAACTTTGGTGGGGATATTTGACGGTACGCTATGTGGTCTCTTAATGACCGTCTGCGCAGTTTTGACTGAGGTCAACTGCCCTGATGATTTACATAAGATCGGTGGAGGCATCGTCTTCGTCAATCTATTGAGGAGTGCTATTACGCCGCTGAGCTAGTGGCTTTGCACCAAGTCAGAAGTCTGCTGTGCAAGTCCAACCTGGACAGACCGGACTGTCAAGTTATCGCTTCGTGCATCTATCCCTTTGTCTGTACCTGCGGTATCAAGTACATTGGCCTAACTGAGAGAAGACTGTCAGCGAGGATTGCAGAGCATGTCCCGCGAAACATGGTCGCAAATGGTCCAAAGCTACCCACTCGCTCTATTGCACGCCACGTACTTGAATGTCCACTGTGCCAAAACCCATGTGATACGTTTGAGTTAATCAACAGCAAATCTAGCCCCTGCATACTTCAGTTCGCTGAGGCCTCGGCGATTCGAGGCTTGAAAACAAGTTTGTGCAAAACAAACGGATATCGTGACAAGCCCCATCTTATCCTGGTGAGGCTAGTGCTCGTCTTTCCTCTGCCCAAGTCAGGTGAACTCAACGGCTTTCGACCGCTTAAATTTCGCCGATAACACCACACCTTGATTATCTTTGATATGCAATCTGTTTATTCCACACATTGTTTGTAAACAGCTGAGGAGAGTACGGGTAAGTAATGAATTCAGTATCTTCTGTTAAAACGTGGGTTCCTCTTGCTATACTGAAATTCGTGAAGGGGAATGCTTACACGAAATCTTTTGGATCAAGTAGGAGTAACTGAAACCCTAACTTTCCGGGTCACCTTAGCAATAGTCACGTTCTAATCAACACTCGTGTCATAAATTAATGGGCGGCTCAGTTCAGGACACTGTTCTCCCTAGGTGCCAGCCTATTCCCTGCAGCGTAGCAACGCGTAAGTCAGTGAAAAGAGGCCTGGCTGTTTCGCGGCTAGCACCCTTTTCTCACCGGTCGTTACCGCCCATTGAAACACAGTGGTTTTGGCTGCCGCTTAATAATATATGGGTGATGAATCCTGGTCCCTCATCAGGCAGATGGATCTTACGCCGCTTACCAGTCCCAGAAGAGAGGAACAACAATCCAGTGATTTCACAGGTGTGACGGCCGTCTTGTTGAACTTAACTGTGGCAAGTTCCACATCTTCTTATGGATTTTTTTTAAACATAGCGATACTTCACTTTCTTGAGTACGCAAGTACGGGGCCTACGTTTGCGACACATCTTGTGTGAGGCATACTATCTAGCGACAGCAGGTTCACAGTGTGTGATGCGGATTAGAGCCTTCACTGCTTTCGGTAAGCTAAATATCTCCAGAGACCCAGACGGTGGAAACAGCGCTGTCTGGCGCTTTTCCAGACGTGCCAAAGCCTGCTAACTGAGAGTGGACTGTGATGCATTACCTCTGAATCAAACCAAAATCCCCACTACTAATTGGTATCTCCAGTGAAGTTGTTCGTTGTTCGTTTATTGTATATTTTCATTCTACCATCGGGGGACAGAGAAGCCGTTTTATGAAATAGCTGCCCAGCACACACAAAATTTTTATGCCGTACTCTTTAGCACCAGCATTCTGATGCGCCTCGTACTTGGTCATTGCCGTCATGCTTGTTCGCAGTTTTCCTTACGTCTAAAATCCTTACAAACACAAGCTATTTCACCGCAGCCAGCTCCCCACCTGACTGTCCTAGTTTGTTTCTAACGTGCTGTCCTTCTGTGCCCTTTAACCGTATTGTGCTTTTGCCCGATTGTGGATTATTGAGCAGGTGAGCCCGACACTTCATAGTTTATTGAGTGCGTTCCGCTCACATGTTCAGGGGTTTTGCTTGTATCGATCTGAATAACGTTCCAAATCTCATCGCTCTGTTTCACTTGCACTTTGCGCGGGTCGATATCCTTTCATTTTACCGTGACTTGGTTGGTCGGCTGTCTTCTCTTAAGCGAGACTCAATCTTCCTAAAGCAGTAGCCCAGTTCGTCATGGATATATCAAGTTGTCCTTCCCCGTCCGACTCGGATAAGACTGGTCATGACTGCAGAAGGCAAGGTGTATGGCGCCGCTTTATGAACCGATTGGGCTTAACCTCGAACTCCAAGGAAGCCCCGGTGAAAACCAGTCATCGCTCACTGTTTAGTTGTGGTGCGCTCCGTTCCAGGGTGTCCAAACGCACTGCAGGCGTACAAGATAAACTTCCTCGGGTACATCGAAAGAAAAACAAACGGGTTCCCGGACATGTTGTAGTAAGTCCTCCACCACCATTCCCTATAGTACGCCAAAAGCGATGAATACTTGATGCTTACAACTATAGATCTTTAAACTTGGGCATTTTGTTCCCTGTTATAACTGAATATATAACACAAATTTCTATGTCCAACGCATAATTGTCCAGACGCCCCCTTATTGTTCCACTACACCATCTAGTACCCTTAGTAGGCGTCAGACAATATTTTACTTAGATTGCTCTATTATCCATCCTTCGTCTAGTAATCAAATTCCTGTTTTTTTCGACTAGAAATATCTGTGGTATTAGTTCTAAAAGGAGTTATGGCTTATTTTTGAGCTACCGCATCATTGTTTGGCTCAGCTCCGGTTAGCTGGCCTGCGGCAACGAAACTATTAATCGTGTGCTATTCAACGTGACACCGTGGACAAACCGCCTATAACATGACCACTTTTCTGGTCGTTATTCAAGTCCACCAACACTCGATCTTCGTAATCATGTTAACTGATTGCCGGAATAAGCGACTGCAGTTCGCCATCGGATCTTTACCGGATAAATTTCAGCAAACTTTAGTCATAAGACTTCCCGTTTTGTAGGTGCTTGATTGCGGCCAACTGGGACGCTGTTGTATCTTCCAACTTGTGCGTTCCCATCTCAAGCGATGACAACTAATAGGAGTCTATTATGAACTTTTTAATTTCCCTCTCGCTTCAATCGCACCGAATATTTGTTAAATCATGCTTTGGCACTCTAATTGACTCTCGACCTCTTCTTCACTTCAACATAATTTGGAGCTATTCGCGCTGCACTTGATTTGTTGCTTGATCCACGAAGGTATCAGCGGTATCATAATACGACTTGGTCAAGGTACGCAATATTATTCAGTGCGTATGCTCCATGGCTGCCTCTAACCCAAGAGGATTAATGGGTGTATTGCAACTCTGAGGTGATGCGTTGCGCATAGCGACGTGGAAATGAAGAGGTGGTGTATGCCCCCTGTTCCGTAGTCAGAATATTTTCTAGCGAACCACGGCAGAGTACGTGAAAGCAAACACAGCTACTTGATGTTATAGCGTAGAAAACGTCATAATTATCCTGGTGACAGCTGAAAATGAACTTTTAACATTTAAACCTTTTTTGTGCCATTGTGCGTGCGTATATGTAGTCAAAAATTAGCGGGCCATTTAGCTAGTGGGTCAGTTGTCAGCAGGTTGATATTAATGCGAGCATCTGATACCCCCACCGTTGGAGCTACTGCCACAGTCCCAGTTGAAAACGGTTAACTGGTTTGGGAACGGGGTTTCGTCTGCTCAGCGATGTCCCGCCCACTAGTATATACACTTCCCTGACTCGAAGATTCATAGCTTTAAGGGATTCGGGTTGGCGCGCTTATAAAGCTTGTTCTAGCATGCACGCCTTGGATGCCTATTAACTCAACGGAATCACTATGTCCAAATGGTCCACAATAACAAACTCCAGCACCAACGTGACTTAGCGATGAAGTTCAATGCTAGTATTGAAATACTGTACAGGCGCGTCAACTAGACTTGAGAGTCCGCAGCGCTATTTCGGAGCAAATTGAAATTCAGTATGCTGTGCCCAGAGATCAGTACTGGGACCTATCTTGGGGCATTAATCTACGATGATGCTAGTACACTCCAGTAGGACTTCCTACTCAATGGTGACGATGCAAAGATTTTCCGTGACATCAAGTTAGTAGATGACCACGCGGTGTTGCAGAGAAATCTAGACAAGGCCTATACGTGGTCATCCGAAAGTTGGCTCCAGTTTAACGTGGCGAAATAAAAAGTTCTGAGCACACTATCAGCGGACACTCAGTACCTAGTGAGGAAACATGATACACCGGAAAGCGATCTGCGAGTTATCGTAGGGAATGACCTTGGCGCTCGAAACAGGGCGAAAAAGCATCGGGAAAAGACAGTCAACACGTTGGTCGTCTACGGAGAATGTTCGGGAAGTTCCAGTCATCTAGCTTTCCTCAAGGATTTATCCACCTCCTCTACCAACGCATTTTGTAAGCACCAGGCTTGTACAGCGGTAAATATCGGCGTCTGTAAGGAGACTTTATAAAGATTAGCAAACACTGCGAATTCTAATCACGCTTGTCGCGGTTTATTGTAACAGCCACAATACTAACCTGAGAGGTCACCAGCTCAAACTGGCCACAGATTACATTCGACTTAGTTGCTGGCATAACGATTCCTCCGTTTCAGATATCCCCGATATGGGACTTCTTTTCAACTCACGTCCTTTTTGCCCCCTTAATTAACGCTTGTCAAGATCAAGTTGACTAAATGCCATCCAGTTTCCACTACCTATTATATTCCGTTTCAATTGAAAGACCAAAAACGAGTACCATATACCACTCTACGTAAAATAGCGGTTAGATTACAAGCATCTGTATCCACGTGAATAGCTTGATGAATCATTTAAACCCGAATTTTTCCGTCTTTTTAACATTTTAAACTGGTCTATGATCCTTACTCCGATCGTCCTACGGTACTTGTCAAGCACTAGCTTTTTGCCCGCAATAAATCATTGTTTATTGTTCTGTAGCGTATTCCTCGTCCGATTTAACACAGCTCTATGTTTAGGATGATGTGTCCACGCTCCGTTGACGTGCATATTCTGGATGCCGACAGACAACGCTGTCGTCTGGAACTGCACCTCGTTTCAACTTCAGGAGGAAACGTTCACGTTTACCTACCGCCAGCGTTTTCCGTGTGACATCGGTGTAGACTAGATCAGATGACGTTCTCCTTTGATTCTTCTTAGTACATTAATTTATTCAGTTGCTCTGCTAAACCAACCTGCGGGGTAGAAATAACACGATGTGCATTTGTCCTGAAGTTTCTATTCATATCAGCTTAGTCTCAGATTAAACTATCCTTTGTGCGCATGGAATGATTGATGAGTAGAAGTCGGTCTAATCTTGTTTGTACGGTATCCATCCGCTGATTCAGCAACCTTGCCTCATTCTCTGCACGATCTGTCCTCCTACTCTGTTTAAGAATTGATGATTTAGGGCTAATTTGATATGCCGAACGCTGTTACTAATGAGAAACCGGTTGAATTTAGCACTGAGAAGAGGCAGCCATTATTCGTGCGTAAAGTCTCCGGGAGGCCAACCATGACGAAGGAAGAAAATGGTTTATTTGTGGCGGTTACACTAACCCCTTAACCATACCATAGTATTCTGCGTGCATCCTTTGACATGGTTAGTCAGGTCAACGCCCCAAATGCAATGTCCCAATCGTTCTGCCATGGTTATGTATCAGATAATTGTCGCAATCTTCTAGCATGTTTTCCATTTGCGACAACGAGCAGTATTCCCATTGTTATTTCCTTCATTCCCGCGACGCCTGACCAGATGCTATGTAACTCCTCGAGTAGCCTTTCCAGGAACGACGAACAGCGATTCTCAGAACACGCTGCCATCCAATATGCTCCGTTGCTGCATACCTTCAACGTCTGTAAGTCAGCGACTCTTCCGAGGTGCCATCTCACTGTAAGGAACTGCTTGAACGTTTAGTGAACTGTACCCTAACCGTGGCTTACTTATGCCCCGTTACTTGCTACATGCTACTCAACAACACACTGAGGACATCAACTCGATTGGTGACGAAACGTTTGCAGAAAAATTGTCAATCTAAGCGAACTGTTCAACTGCCACCAGAACAACCTGAGCTACCAATTTTCGCTCTTATTCCGAAGTACATCTAGACCTTCGAACTGAAGGCATGTAGAACCTTAGAGGTATTGTGTGAAGCCCATTGCACTGAATGAACCATTTCGGGCGGAAGATTGAATTCACTTGGCGCCCCCGTAACGGTTGACTGCTCATAGTATCACTTGTGTGAATGTCAAAACGAGAAATTTGTGAGTTGCTAAGTCTTTGCACCCTATTAGAGCCTGTCGCTGCACTCAGGAGAAGACATTCACTGGAAGCTTCTGGTTTCGACGAACAATGAAACTAGTGGGTTGCGGCCTGTGTGTGTGGTTTAAAAACTATTTCCAGATATGGTGATGAAACCTCTTTACTTCAGGGACTGTTAATTCTACTTGTTGACACGGATTTCAAGAACACTGGTGTGCACAAGTGCACTAAATAACCCAGCATTTTACAGCTTCGTTGCACCGTTTCCCGATATTGTTAATCGGATACGCTGCTTCTTGTACTTTGCGTGTCTGTTGGTCTCCCTTCTCGGTGTTCATCTGGTGCTGTCGCCGTTACTTGTTAGACGAAACCCCGAAGTTGCCAGTCATTGATGTAGCCAAAGGAATTTACTAAGCTGTTAAGTTCCTTCTTCGTGGTATGCGGTTTCTAGATGAGCCACCCCGGTGGTTAAAGACTTTATTTCTGTTGCAATCCTGCAATTGGTTTCCTGAGTCCAGCTGTTAATGTTACATCCCCAATAATCTTACTCACTTTCCCTAATCGCTTATCTTTGTACCCTGTGTACTTTCTACCACAATTTTCTCGCCAGTGCTTACTACTGCCATCTTCGTGACAGGAGTTGTGGGTACTGGATCCAACTAACTTTTGTGATTGTTTCAAAGTTCAATTGTTCATTTGTTCTCTGGGCTTGGCGGTTTTGTTGCAAACGTTTCACCACCATGCGAGGTGGCATCCACAGTTCAGTGAGATGCGGCATGCAATCTTACTGAATGAATCGTCCATCCGTGATCGACCTGCAGGTGACTTTTGAAAGTGGCAGTCTCGATTTGCATCACGTGACCTCTACGCACCTTATCCACGACTAAGTCGGCGCCCGAGTTGTTCTGCCTTAAACCGCATGACAAAATGTACTTCATTTCTTTATGTCTAAGCGCTTGATATATTTAATCGATGTCAGCACGCATGTTGATTGCTTTTCCTTTGAAACCGAACTTCCAGAAAATCCCTTTCTTTTCTTGTTTCACCGCGTGCCAGCATCATCTGATGGTAGCACACAAACCAACTGCCACGTTGAGAATGACTCTTTCGAAACCAAATGA